TTCACTAAACATACTAACTTTACAGACATATTCTAGAGGAAGGTGTTTCACTGAACATACTAACTTTACAGACATATTCTAGAAGAAGGAGTTTCACTAAACATACTAACTTTACAGATGTATTCTATAGGAAGGTGTTTCACTAAACATACTAACTTTACAGACATATTCTATAGGAAGGAGTTTCACTAAACATACTAACTTTACAGACATATTCTAGAAGAAGGAGTTTCACTAAACATTCTAACTTTACAGATGTATTCTATAGGAAGGTGTTTCACTAAACATACTAGCTTTACATACATATTCTAGAAGAAGGAGTTTCACTAAACATACTAACTTTACAGACATATTCTAGAGGAAGGTGTTTCACTAAACATACTAGCTTTACAGACATATTCTAGAAGAAGGTGTTTCACTAAACATACTAGCTTTACATACATATTCTAGAGGAAGGTGTTTCACTAAACATACTAACTTTACATACATATTCTATAGGAAGGTGTTTCACTAAACATACTGGCTTTACAGACATATTCTAGAAGAAGGTGTTTCACTAAACATACTGGCTTTACAGACATATTCTAGAAGAAGGTGTTTCACTAAACATACTAGCTTTACAGACATATTCTAGAAGAAGGTGTTTCACTAAACATACTAACTTTACATACATATTCTATAGGAAGGTGTTTCACTAAACATACTAACTTTACAGACATATTCTATAGGAAGGTGTTTCACTAAACATACTAGCTTTACAGACATATTCTAGAAGAAGGTGTTTCACTAAACATACTAACTTTACATACATATTCTATAGGAAGGTGTTTCACTAAACATACTAACTTTACAGACATATTTTATAGGAAGGAGTTTCACTAAACATACTAGCTTTACAGACATATTCTAGAAGAAGGAGTTTCACTAAACATACTAGCTTTACAGACATATTCTATAGGAAGGTGTTTCACTAAACATACTAACTTTACAGACATATTTTATAGGAAGGAGTTTCACTAAACATACTGGCTTTACAGACATATTCTATACGAAGGATTTTCACTAAATATACTAACTTTACAGACATATTCTAGAGGAAGGTGTTTCACTAAAC